TCATAGAGGTGTGAGCTGTGTGTGATTGTCAACACTGGTATTATTGGTATGTGGGAAGTGGAGGCAGGAAGTTAGTGAGTTCAAGGCCAGCCTCAGCTATATGTTGAGTCTGAGAACAATCTAGGGTATATGAGACCCTGTCTGAAAAACAAAAGCCATGTATTGTGGCTTATGCCCTTGATGCCAGCACTTGGGAGGCAGAGACAGGTAGACATCTGTGAGTTTGAGGCCAGCCTGGTCTACATAGTGAGTTTTAGATCAGTCAAGGATACATAGAGAGGCCCTGTCTCAAAAAAGAAAACAAACCCAAAACTCTTCAACTATTGAATTCAAGCAAGGCCATACTGCAAGACCCTGTCTCAAAAATAAGTTTTCAAAAAGTGATAGGATTATGAATCCTATCATTCATAATTCCCAGAGGATTCTCAGGAGTCTTTCTGACTCAAAAGTGCTGATTGACTAACTGCCAGGCCACACTAACCTGTGAAATGAGTAGGTTCTTGTGTTGGGGTTGTTGTCTAATGGCTCCCTCATCAACAAAGCCTTTATACATGAGAACCCAAGCTTCCACTGACCTGGGAACTTTAAAGACTAGCAGGACATGGCACTAGCTAAGGAGAGCTTCTAAAGAAAGCTGGTGCGGCTGCCTAAACTGTAGTGTATAGCATGTAAGAGTATATGTGAAAGGTACAAAGTGGATACTTGAGGCAGAAGCGGAAGTCTGGACTTCCTATTGATTGTAGAACTTAGAACTTTTTTTTCCCCAATGAGCATGTACAAATGTAGATTGGGCTGTGTTTCACTACAGTTGCTGATGCACAATACTCAGTCCCATGTTTGGTTTTTCCTTTACTATGTACCCATGTGGGAGAAATGCCATAGGACTGCTACAAGTTTTCATCTTTCACTGCAAAGATGCATCTTCCAGGGAAGGCAATACCCAAAGTATACTCTCCAAGGGTTCACAGGGGAGAAGCGCTTAGTCTCCATTCTGCAGTTTGGTATCTTTTTGAAACATGTTTCTAGTTACTGTAAAGACACTGACTGTGTGTGTTTCTTTTCAGCAGTTTCTCAGGAGTTTTAGATTTGGCATGGGTTAAGTTCCTCTAAAGGATGAACCAGTCATCTACACCTTCACTAGAAAAGTGGTTGTTCCTAGCCCGTGCATGGTGGTGCATACCTAAGATCTCAGCACTTGGGAGGTCAACGCAAGAGAATTCCCTTGAGTTTAAGCCTAGAGTGAAGCCATATCTCAAAAAATCAAGTAAAAGAAGTACAAACAAACAAACAAGTATCCCTGCACACTGCCAAGTATCCCATTTAACTAACTCTTCATTTTACATGTATAGTGATTTTTTTTTTAAAGAGTCTCATGTAGTCCAGGCTGGCCTTGAACATGCTATGGAGTCAAGGATGATCTTGAACTTCTGATTCCTGCCTTCCCTTCCAAGTAATAGGATTACAACCAATGCAACCATACCTGTTTTGATGAGATGCTGGGGTTCAAACTCAGGACCTTGTGCATGCTAGGCTGATACTCTACCAACTGAGCTATATTCTCAGCCCTCCTATAGTGATCTTTTCCTTAATACCTTTACTGAATCTTCTGATTACCCAGAGTAATGTATTACTTACAGATAAGTTGAAAATACAACTAAATAGGGGCTGGAGAGATGGCTCAATGGTTAAGAGCACTGACTACTCTTCCAGAGGACCCTGGTTCAGTTCCCAGCACCCACATGGCAATGCACAACTGCCTGTAACTCCACTTCTCTGGTATCTGACACCTTCACACCAATGCACATAAAGTTAAAAGTTATTTAGAAATAAAAAATACAACTAAATAAAAGTCACTTACCATCTTGGGTCAGCAAGACAACTCAGTGGATAAAAAGGCTTTATGATGATCTGAGTTCAACCTCTAGCTAGAGTCATGTGGTCAAAGGAGAGAATCTACTCCCTCAAGCTGTTCTCTCCCCGCTACATATGCCTCTGGCAATGAACATACCTGTTCACTCACACACATAAAAAAGACAGAACCAAAGAGGGGCTGGCAAGATGGCTCAGTTGTTGAGAACACTTGCTGCTCTAGAAGAGACCCAAATTCAGTTCCCAGCACCCACATCAGGTGGCTCACAATCATCTTTAACTCCAGCTCCTGGGAATGCGACACATTCTTTTGGCCTCCATATATACATTCACGTGCTTGCGCGCGTGTGCGCATGCACATACATACACCCACCTATCATCCATAGAGTCATAATCTACCTCTATCTTGTACATGTAAACTTTGTTTTATTTTATTTTGAGATAGGGTCTTATGTAGCCTAGGCCTCCAACTCATTTTGTAGCCATGGTGTTAGGATGAAGGTATGTACAGCCACACCCATTTTTTTAATTTAAAGATCTCACTCGTCTGGAACTTGGTATGTCAGTCAGGTTGGTTTAAACATGTGATGCTGGGACTGGACCTAAAGCACGACATGCAGGGGCTCACCTGAGAGCCTGGAATGGTTTGGAAGTCAGCCTGTAGCCCAGGCTGACCTCAAGATCCAGTGATTCTCCTGCCTGTACCTCTCCAGTTTGGAGATTACAAGTGTGTTCCACCACTTGTAATGCTACTTCATTAATTGATTGATTTCTTCTTTGTTCTTTTCAGGCAAGGTCTTTTGTAGCCGAGGTTGAACTTGCTTGCCAGTTTTGCCTTATCTCTTGATCCACCTCTCTTTACCTCCCCAGTGCTGAGATTGATTATAGGTGAGCACTACCATGCTGAGTTTCATTAACTAAAAAAAAAAAAACAAAAAAAACACACACACACACATAAAAACACAAAAAAACGGTGATGGGAAGCTGGAGAGATGTCTCAATGCCCATGACAGGCAATTTACAACTGTCTGTAATCCCAGCTCCAGAACTAACATCTAGTCTCTGATATACCCCTACCCCAGCATTGAGGTTACAGACACACTTTCAAAAACAGATTTTATTTTTAATTATGTGCATGTGTGTGCCTGCATTTGGGTACGTGCATCTGAATGTAGTGCATGCAGAAGTCAGAAGTGGGTATCAGAACCCTTGAAGCTTGAGCTACAGGAAGCTGTGAAGAACTCAACATTGTGCTAGGAACTGAACCCCAGCCCTCTGTAAGAGGAATACACACTCCTGACCACTGAGCCATCTCTCCATTCCCCCGTCTTAGATAGGATTTCTATTGCTACCATGACTGTGGCAATTCTTATAAAGGAAAACATTTAACTGTGCTAGCTTACAGTTCAGAGGTTTAGTCCATTATTATCATGGCAAGTGTCATGCAGGCAGACATTGTGCTCAAGAAGGAGCTGAGAGTTCTATATCTTGATCCACAGGCAGCAGCAGAAGACTGTGTGTCACACTTGGTGTAGCTTAAATATACAATACTTCAAAGCCTGCCCCCACAGTGACACACTTCTTCCAACAAGATCACACCTACTCCAGCAAGGCCACACCTCCTAATAGTGCCGCTCCCTATGGGCCAAGCATTCAAAGAAAGCCGAAGTAAACCAATAAATTTGTTTCACTTTGAGGATGTCATAAAATCTTTATAATTCTGTTCTGAAGGCGAACTGGGGAGGTAGCTCAGTGGATAAAGTACTTGCTTGTAGAAACATGAGGACCTGAGTTCAGATCATAAAAACCAGGTATTGGACACATGAGTCTATGTAGATCATACCTATTCAAACCACCACACTTCTTTCTAAATTTTATTCTTACTTAGATGTATATTATTAGTTTGTGTGTGGGTATCCAAGGGGGCTAGAGATCCCTGGGAGCTGGACTTACAGATGGTAGTGAGCTGCATGATGTGAGTGCCAAGAACCAAACTCAGGTGCTTTGCAAAAGCCACAGAAGCACTGTCATTCTCTTTAATATCAATAAATATCTTTCAATATCAAGACAGGGTCTCACTATATAGCTCTTGTCTGGCCTGAAACTCACAATGCAGACCAGGCTGGCCTCAAACTCATAGAGATCCACCTGTCTCTGCCTCCCAAGTGCTGAGATTAAAGATATGCACCACCATGCCTGACCTAAAAACCTTTGATTTATTTCCTCGATGTGCATGAGTTCTTTGTCTATATGTATGTATGTACATGCACCACATGTGTGCCTGCTGCTCAAGGTCAGAAAAAGGGGCCAGATCTTCTGGAACTGGAATTATTACTTATGGGTGGTTGTTTCTTCTTTGCTTGCTTTTTATGTTGTTGTTTTTGTTTCGAGACAGGGTTTCTCTGTATAGTCCTGTCTATTCTGGAACTTGCTCTGCAGACTAGGCTGGCTTTGAACTCAAGAGATCTGCCTGCCTCTGCTTCCCTGGAACTAAAGGCATGTGCCACTATGTCCTGCTTAAGGATGGTTGTAAACCATCATATGGGTGTCCCAGATCCTCTGTAAGAGCAACAAGTGCTCTTAACTGCTGAGCCATCCCCGCAGAAACAACAGAAGTTCTCAACCACTAAAGCATTTCTTCAGCCCCAATACCTGATTTTTATGATCTGAACTCGGGTCCTCGTGTTTCTATAAGCAAGGACTTTATCCACTGAGCTACCTCCCCAGTTCACCTTCAGAACAGAATTATAAAGATTTAATGACTTCATCAAAGTGAAGCAAATTTATTGGTTTACTTCGGCCTTCTCTGTATAGAATGGAATGAACTATGATAGACTGTTATGCAGAGATTCACTGTTTTGAGAAAATCCAGGTTCCATGTGAAAGAACTACATGTATGGGCTGGAAGATGGCTCAATGGCTAAAAGCAGCTGCTGTTCTTCCAGAGGACCAGAGTTCAATTCTAAGTACTCACATCAGGAGGCTCACAACTGCCTGTGGCTCCAGGGAGATCTGACACCTCTCTAAGGACTCCTACTTAGATGCACATAACTAAAAATAATGAAAATAAACCTTAAAAAACTACATGTAGTCAAAGTCCCCATATTTATAATTTTTTTTGTCAAACTCATATACATAGCTGGTGGATGAGACACTATGATTAAGAAAATGGTTTTCCTGGGGCAAATTTTATCCATTGCTTTCTGACATGCTGACCGCTGCAATTTCTTCAAATGTGAGAAACTCAGAGGCATAATTTGAGTTGGGGGAGAATTTGCTCAATGTCTTGTTTTTTTCCTTAATAATAATAATAACAGTAATAATAAGAATAGCAACAACAACCCAGTAGGACTGAAGAGATGGCTTGGGGGATAAGAGCACCTACTGCTTTTGAAGAGGACCAGAGTTCAGTTTCCAGCACAAGACTGAGTGGTTTACAGGGTCTGAAACTTCATCTACAGGGGATCCAACTTCTCTGGCCTCTGAGGTCACCTGCACTGAAATGTGCATACCTAAACAGGTAAACAAAAACATAAATAAAAACAAAACAAATCTTAAAAACCCCATCATATGGGAAATGAACCTCTATTAAGTTTTAAGAATTCTTCTATTAGCCGGGCAGTGAAGGCGCACGCCTTTAATCTGAGTATTCAGGAGGTAGAGGCAGGTGGATTTCTGAGTTCGAGGTCAGCTTGGTCTACAAAGTAAGTTCAAGGACAGCCAGGGCTACACAGAGAAACCCTGTATCAAAAAGTGAAACAAAACAAAACAAAACTTCTATTAAGTTTAAGAATTCACATTTTTTCAGATAGTGGCATATGCCATCCCAGTACTCAGTAGGCAAAGGCCAGACCCTGCTCCACTCCCCCAACCCCCAAAATGACAACCAAAACCTCTGAAGCTGTAGAGTTTGCCCCCTTTTTTCTTTGCCTGTCTAAAAGAGGGTAACAAAGAAATGCAAACTTGGAAACATTATTAATACACCATATATTACTGGAGATGTAGATCAGGAGTAGACCTCACCTAGTATACATGAAGCCCTGTGTGAGCTCCTCAAAATACAAAACACAACAAATGAGGACAAACACAGTACAGTAAGTACTCTTGTTAGTTTTCTGTGGGATAGTTTTTATTCCAATGCTCATTTCTTACAAATATTGCCTGACTGTGACAGAGTCATGCCGTGTAGCTCATTTGGCCTTGAATTCTCAGTTCTCCTGCCTCAGTTTCCTGAATGGTGGAATTAGAGGTGCGGACCAGTATACCCAACTCAACAAACATACATGCATATACACATGTGTGGCTAGTCTGGGCAACAGAATTCTAGGCAATAACAACAAATATGTCAGGCGGCACAACCTTTATTCCTACTACTTTAAAGACAGAAACAGAAGGATCTCTGTGAGTTTGATGCCAGCCTGGTAAATTGAGTTTGAGGTCAGTCATAACTGCATAATAAAAACAAACAAACCAACCAAAACAAAATAAAAATCCAGCCAGGCACAGGATGTGAAAGAGGGAAGATGAGAAGCTCAAAGGTAGTCTCCTATGTGTTGAAAGTTTGCAGCCAGCCTGAGCTGTGCAAGACCATACTTCATAAAATAAAAATTGGGAGCAGGTGAGATGGCTCACCGAGTAAAAATACGCTTACTCACAAGTATGGAAACCCGAGTTAGATCCTTGGCAACTCGGTAAGGGTGAAACGAGAAAACCCACTCCAGCAAGTTCTTCTTCAACCTCCACAATAGCACTGTGGAACATGCAAACACATACACAATATAAAAAGATTAAGAAAAAAAAAAAAGAGGCCTGGAGAGATAGCTTGGTGGTTAAGAGCACTGGTTGTTTTGCAGAGGAACCAGGGTCTGAGTCCTAGCACCCACATGGCAGCTCACAGCAATCTGTAATTCCAGTTCCAAGGGATCTGACGCCCCTTCTTCTGGCCTCTGTGGGTCCCAGGCACACATGTGGTACACAGACATACATGTAGACAAACACTTATACACATAAGAAATTTTTAAAAAATAAATAAAAGCACATAGCTGTAGTTATATGAAATAGTCAATCATTCTGAACCACACAGCAGTCAATGAAGTCTAGGAGACTTAGAGTTCCATAGTGATAAACTACTGGCTGACAGGTGTGTCAGGCAAAGGTTTAGGGGAAACAATGGTTATTGCTCAATCATATTGACCGTGCTTTATGGGCTAGATGCTAGGCACTGAATCAACAAGTACGGAGTTTTCACAAGGATGGAGGAACTGAAAATACCCAGTTTTCAGTTTCCTCTCTTTAAGATTCATTAATTTGTTTAAATACTCTAATGTATTTACTTGAGTTGCATCAGAAATTCTTTCTGTACTTGTGGTAGCAATGACAAATAGTTCCTTTGTAATGTTACACCAGTCAATACCTGTTTTTGCCTAAGGACGTATCCAAACCAATTCTGGATAAGCCAGCTTTGAAGTGGGTTGGGCAGTGCTAATTTTTTTTCTTTTCTGCTTAGTTGCTTAGTTTGGGTTGTGAGCTAGTCACACATGCCTTGAAAACAGTGTAAGATACAAGCTAAGTAAAACTGTATATGTTAGCTAGGCATGCCTTTAGTCACAGCACTTGGGAGGTAGAGGCTAGGGGATCTCTCTGAGTTTCAGGTTAGCCTGGTCTACAGAGTGAGTTCCAGGACAGCCAAGGTTACACAGAGAAACCTTGTCTTGAAAAACCAAAGCAACCAAAGTTACATAAAATAAGATTTTTCCCATTTTCTACCACTCACTATCTAGAAATGTCAAAATGAGCAATTATGAAGTCTAAGAAGTTAAAAAAAAATGCTTGGCAGAACCAAGTGTTGGTATTACAAGCATGCATGCTTGATAATGCCCAGAAAAAAAATCCCACTATATTTTTGATGTTTTGGTGAGCTTGGCTTTTAACAGCACAACCACCTCTCCAGTCCATTGATATCCTTTATAGAATAATAAATAACAATGGAGGAGTGAAATACTAAATATTGCAAATCAAGATAGATATAATTCATTATAAGAGTTTTAACAAGAAGATGACAAGTCTTGTTTTCAACTAGTGTACAGACATAATTGTACAATAAATAAAGGCACAGAGCTGTAGTTATATGGAATAGTCAATCATTCTATTGTACAGATATTGTATTGTGTAATTAGCAGAGTAAAAGGACATTTGTCATACAAAGTTCACCAAATTCCTTTGTGATTTTTAACTTTAAAAGTTTTAATTTTTAATTACTGAGGAACCACAACACTTTTAACTTTTTTTTTAATTGATAAAAGGAGGAAGGGGATTTGAGAGGGAGAGGAAGGGAAATCATTTGAGACGGGTGACCTCCTTGTCAGAAATTTTGTTAGAAGTGGTTTAGCTAGCAGAACCCAGAATGGGCAGCGGGCTCCTGAAGAAAGGGAGGACTGACTAAGAAAAACAAATCTTCCTACAAGTTGGCCATTCTGCTGAGCTCAGTGCGCTTTAATTCATAACCACCCGGTGGGGAGGGTGCTCACGTTCCCATTTTACAGAGAGCATCAAACGCGCCGAGGTCACTCAACAAGTAAGTGGCGGCCGCGGACCAGAAATAGCCCGCGAGCACGCCCTCCTCTCCGCGTCTAGCCGTGCGGTCGGATTCCACGCACCGTTCCATCTTCCTCCGGCCGGACAGTTCCCGGGACTGAGGGATGGCGCTGTCCAGCCCGCGGCCGCCATCCCGCCCGAGCATCTCGCCTGAAGACGGTCGAGCCCGTCCACCCCAAGGCGCGCGCGCGGGCGGAAGGGCTCAGAAGCCTCGGGGCTGCCATCCCGAGTGGCTCCCGGGTTGCTTCACCTCCGCGCGCTGGCTCCAGCTTGGACCGGGCGGGAACCGGCCCGGGCCGCGGAGAGCCGCTCCCTGTCCGCAGCTCCCTCCCCAGCAGCCGGAGGCCAACGGGTTAAGTAGCCTCACCTGTCCCAGAGGCGGAGCCTGCTGCGGTGACTGACGTCGCGGGCCTCCAACCGGGAAATGGCAGGAAGACGGGGCTTCGCGGAGACTGACTGCTTTTTTCCGCCAATCCCCGCGCAGCTACTTCCGGCCGTAGCCGCGGCGCCCGTGGGAGCGCGACAGGTGGGAGCTACTTTGTTACCTCGACGCCTCCTGCACCGTGGACGCACAAGACTCTCCAAGCCAAGGGTTAGGTTTACTTCGTATTTTGTTAATTCTTGCGGGGTTTCACTTCAGCCCTCCTTTTAACGAGCAATGGAAATTCCCCAGCCCTTTCCCGTCACCTCAGATGGGGGCGGGACGAACAAGATCCCCACAGGCCAATTGTACCACGCGACGTCCCGTGACAAAATGACCGACAGTCCCTGGCGCCAATTGAGCTCCCCATTGTTAGGGTTCCTCCTGAGTGACCGCCAGGCCAACTAATCCACTTTAAGGTCGTGAGTCGCTAGTCACGGAGGCCGGCCAATGGGCAGAGGCGAAGACCGGAAGTCTGCGCGGGAGGAGGAGGAGGCGGGCGTTCACAACCGCCTAGGCCTGCGCGGGTCAACGCAGCTTGGGGGCCGAGAGCCAGCTAGCAGCGCGTGACGGCGAGCGTGAGCGACAGCTCTATGTGGCCAATGGTTCGCGGGCGCCTAGGAGTCGCGACCAGTGATGAGTCGCAGGGGCGGGAGGCAGCAGGTTAGGCAGTGAGAAGTTAGTGGCGCTGCTGGGACGGGGGGGACGGAGACGCTTCTTCCTCCTGCTGCTCCTCACCTTCCTGGGATCCGCCGCGGCGGTGGCCGCGAGTGATTCGGCGGCGGCGGCGGCGTCCCCGGCTCCGCGTGCGAACCATGCTGACGGACAGCGGGGGTGGCGGCACCTCCTTCGAGGAGGATTTGGACTCTGTAGCTCCGCGATCCGCCCCAGCTGGGGCCTCGGAGCCTCCTCCGCCGGGAGGGGTCGGGCTGGGAATCCGCACCGTGAGGCTCTTTGGGGAGGCTGGGCCCGCGCAGGGAGTCGGTGGCGGCGGCGGCGGCGGCGCGGGCGGAGGGGACGCGGCGCTGGATTTCAAGTTGGCGGCTGCCGTGCTGAGGACGGGCGGCGGCGGCGGCGCCTCTGGGAGCGACGAGGACGAGGTGTCCGAGGTATAGCTCCAGGACCCTTGTCTCTAACATCGCGTGCGGGAGCCGGGGGATTCTTTGGGCCGGCAGCCGGCGGCTCCGCTCTCGTCTCCCGGGTGCAGTATTGGCTGACAGCGGTCGCCTGCACGGCGGCGGTAGCAGCGGGCGCGGGCCTAGCGAGCGCTCTTGCTTGCTCTCCGGCGCGCGTCTGGAGCGGGACGGGTTCCCGTCAGCGCCTGTCGACCCACAATAGGGGAGTTCTTGGCTCGGCGAGCTTCGCGCGGGAACCCGGACTCCGCACGCTGCCTCCCGCCCACCCCGGGTTGGAGATGGGGGAGGGCGGGGTCTTTGGAGCCCGAGTCCCTGCCCTTGGTACTGAGGGAGCCGGAGAAACTGACGGGCGAACGCGGCCAGCTCAGGGAGCCCTCCTACTGGTCCTCTGCCTTCCCTGGTGCTTTGCCTATGCATTTAAGTAGAGCGCTTCTTCTTTTCTCTGTAGTTTGAGGCAGGTGAGTATTAAGTTCTCAGCTTTCACGCTGAAAAGAAGTCACGTGACTGGCTCTTGGACGTTTTGTTGAAGTTAGGCAGGAAAAGGAAGTTTCAAGGCATCTTTGAGCTTTGGAATAGCTGGATAGTCGAACGCTGAGGTTTTCAGCCTGGGAGAAGGTGAGGTATCCTACAGACATCTTTTCTTGTGAAGAAAATAAGTTGAGCTGTCATTTCTTTTAGCACATGTGTATATTCCCGTGTGCTCATTTCAGGTGAGAGCAACTTAGGATTGTCGATACTGTCTTTGGTCTCTTGGGGGAAAAGGTGACAAACACATAGTTGGAGCTATTTGCACAGTTAATCGCATGCATATACATGTATAAGTTACTCTTTTCTTTGGCGGTGGTCAGGAGAGTGCTGTACTGTGATGTTTTAAGTGTCCAGAAATATTACTTTTTAAAATTTTGACTATGATTTATTAGATGTTTTAATTTAGCCTGTGAGTTGGTATGTAGACTGGGCCGGCTGAAGTTTATGTGATCCTTCTGCCTGTATCTCTTTAGTGCTGAATTACAGGTGTGCACCACCATGGCTAGTGAAGTATTTCTTTGTTGGGCCTATGTTAGGCCTGGTTCATTCCTTGTGACTTTAACCTCTGGTCCTGGTGTTAAAGTACTGGAATTTCTGTGTACCATAATCCTGGCTTGTGCATTTGAGAGGAATAAGGAGAAATTACTGCAAAATACAGTTAAACACTGTTATTCCTAGGTCTGAACAGGAGTTTATTTGGACTCAACATTTTACTTTGGGAAAGAAAGCTATGTATGTTATCCATCCATATTTTTGAATTTCACTGTAAGGAAATAAATTCTAAGTCAAGATGAGAGAAGAATTTTACTTCGGTAGTCGGTCATTGCGAGAGTCTGTAGCTCCCTTGATTTTGGATTTGTGGAAGGCTTTATCCATTCAGTCAAACTTGAGCTGAACTCAGAACACATGTATGTTTAGCTAGGAAATAAAGTGGTGAGTAACTTTAGATTCTAAAGTTTTGTTTTATTTTTCTTTGTAACTTGAAAGGGGGACTGAAAAGGTTGGTTTTGTTCTAAATGTTACAGGGAGGTAGTCTCCTTGATTTTGGGGGCCACTTTTATATAATTGGTATGAATGAGATTAGAGGTTACTGATTCACTTTTTAATGAATAGTGTTTAAATTTCTTCACAGATAAAAGTGCTAGTGAACTTCCAAGTCAAATTGTTGTCTCCGTGTTCGTTTCTGTCACACACACATACAAACACACATTTCATACAGTGTGTTAAAGCTATGGGTAAAATCTATACATTTTCACCACTTTATTTTTGAGGTAAGGTCGGTCTCTCTCTTTGTCTCTGTCTCATATTTTTGAGGCAGGGTCTTACTGTGTAGCTCTGGCCGGCCTGGAACTGGCTTTGTAGACAGGTTGGCCTTGAATTCATAAGAGGTCAGCCTGCTTCTGCCTTCCAAGTACTGGGATTGAGTGTATGTGCTGCCATGCCTAGCTTCATACTTCAAAATAAAATTTGGTCTATATGTAATAGTGTTTTGCCTATATGGTGTGAACCACTTGAGTGCCTGGTGCCCAAGGAGTACAGAAGAGGGTGTCATGCCCCCTGAAACTGGAGTTACAGCTGTTGGTGAGCCACCATGTGGGTTCTGGGAATTGAACTGAGCAGTCAGTGCTCTTAACCACTGAGCCATCTTTTCAACTTCAGAACACCTATTCTTTGTTGGTTTTACTTTTTTGGTTTTTCAAAACAGGGTTTCTCTGTGTAACAGCCCTGGCTGTCCTGGAACTCGCTTTATAGACCAGACTGGCCTCAAACTCACTGAGATCCACCTGCCTCTGCTTCCCAAATGCTGGGATTAAAGGTGTTTAACCATGCCTGGCTAGAACACCTATTCTTATTCTCCTATTTACTTATATATTCTGTGCCCCCCCCAAATGAATTTGGTTATGAGTGTATATTCAGATCTTTTTCTCTGTTTGGACAGGGTTATACATTGTAACCCAGGCTAGACTTGTGTGTGTGCTAGGCAGTCTTCTGTCTGTTCCTCCATTATGTCTGATTGGCTGGCTGGCCTTCCTTCTTTTCTTTTTCTTTAAAAACAACATCAACAACAGAAAGAAAAAAAAAAACTTTAGTTTTGGAATGCAATCCACTGCACCTACAGAGCTTTTTTGGGGATATAGGGTGGGGTTCAATGTACATGAAGATTCTTAGCCTGTGGAAAAGGAAAGCTATTTTTGTGGTTTTTCTTTTCTTTCAGAAAAGAAATTTCTAAAATATTTCATACCAACAGTAAGTGTTGCTGGTTATATAGTATGCTTTTGTGAATGAAATGAACTGTTTGCTTAAGTAAGTTATTTACCTTTTCTGTTTTCTCTTTCATGAGCTATCTTGTTGCTTTGAAAGGGATAACATAATATTCTTAGAAAATTACTAACCTATGAAGTATTTGATAAATAATAAACCCTAATTTTCATATTTAAATTATTTTAGAGACAATGAATTAATTGTTACATAGTTGGAAGTGGAGATTGTCTTCTTACCCATTTGGGGTAGACCGTAAGAAATGAGAAATAAAATGTTGGTTACATTGAAAGGTCCTGTAGTTTGAGGAGGGGATCTAGGATTATTACTATTAATAATAATCTTGTTTATTATTATTACAATTATTCTGTGTGCATACATAAATGCATGTGTGTGCAATAATATTCCTGTGGATGTTGTAGGCAATTTGTGGAAGTCAGTTCTCTCTACTGTTATGAGTTCTGTGGTTTGAACTGAGGTGGTTGGGCTAGATGTGCTTGTTTGCAACTGCTGAGCCATCTCACCAGCCTCCATACAATTTTTTTTAATATTTATTTATTTATTATGTATACAATATTCTTGTCTGTGTGTCTGCCTGCAGGCCAGGAGAGGGCATCAGATCTCGTTTCAGATGGTTGTGAGCTACCATGTGGTTGCTGGGAATTGAACTCAGGACCTTTGGAAGAGCAGGCAATGCTCTTAACCGCTGAGCCATCTCTCCAGCCCCCTTCATACAATTTTTTTTAAAATACAAAAATTATATTATCTTAGGGAATACCATCATTCAGTTATTTATTTGTTTAGTGGCGCTGGGGATTAAAGCCAGGGCCATGCATATGCTAGCAGTATTCGCTAATTGTACCCCTAGCATCTCTTTGTAAGATTTGAGATAGGGGCTTACTAAATTGCTCAGGCTAACTTTGAACTTGCTCTTTAGTAGGGATTAAACCTTTTGTTTTGTTTTGTTTTTGTTTTTTTCTTCTCTTTCTTTTTGTTTTTTTGTTTGTTTTGTTTTGTTTTGTTTTTTGAGATAGTCTCACTGTGAAGCCCTGGCTGTCCTGAATGTCATAAAACTCATGGAGATCCACCTACCTCTGCTTTCCAAGTGCTGGGATTCCCAAGTGCCTGTGCCACC